GTGACAAATGCCTACAGTCCCAGCTACTTGGGAGGCTGAGGTGGGGGGATTGTTTGAGCCCAGGACTTTAAGGCCACAGTGAGCTATGATGGCACCACTGCACTCTAGCCTGGGTGATGGGGCAAGATCCTATCTCTAAAAAAAAAAAATACCCAAACAATGTTTTCACGAATTCATAATGACTTTCATTCCAATTAGTACAAACTAGCAAGATTTTATGTTTCTTTATATGGATTCCATAGTAACAAAACATCAACAATATGCAAAATCTTTCCAAATGTGTCTAAAAGAGGAAATGGGTAAACCCATTCCCCAATACCTAAAATAACTGCTCCTTATTCCCCAAAATGTGGGTCCTCACCTTCCTCTACAAAAAATCAAGGTGGTCAGTATGCCTGCTTTTATTCTCCACTCTCCAAATTAGAAAACAGGGTGACTGCAATCTCATACACACTCCTATTGAAATGACAGTGAAGCCCCACTCCTGATGAACAGCTACCAAAAAGGAAAAAGGAGCTCTGTCCAGTTTCTCCATCATGCCTCTAATACAAAATGGTCACTTCTTCCAAGGGCCTCAGTCAACAAATGAAGTCAATAAATGAAGCAGAGATTGCTCAGAGTCAAAATTACCCTAGACTGCTCGCTTCCGGATTAAAGAGTTAGCTTGCAGAGATCATATTGCAGGAAAATTAGGATCTTTGAACACCAGAATCAGGGACCATGTAGAATACTCACACAATAAAAGATTTAGGAGAGCCCAGTGAAGAAACAGCACACTCCCATTCCCCATCCACGTCGGAGCTTGTGCTCAGTGAGGGGAATGCAGGCAGGCAGTGTTCACTATTGCAATGTTAAATTTATCTCACTAGTGCTCTATTACTTCTCTCTCTCCCTCCCTCCTTTACTCTCTTCAATCTTTTGCTGAACATAAAAACTGACCTCTCTTATGTTAAATACGTGCACGATATAAGTCCACCCAACAGACGTTTTATGAGAAGTAAAATTCCAGGAAATGAAAACTGCTTTACTTATTATTTAAGTAAGTGTGCATTTTACCTCAGGACTGCAGTAACCCCCTTACTAATTAACATGCTAGAACTCATTTCACAACTTTAAATAAAAATTGCTACTTTAAACAGTATACATATATCCTTATTAAAATACCTTTAATCTTCAGAATAAACATGGTTTATATCAAAAGACATGTTCACCCTTTCCTGCCAGTGAGCTGGAGGGCTCAAGTGCTGCATTTACCTGAATGAACAATGGCTGGCAGTCTTGACCATGTAGCATAACCCAGGCAAATCTACTTCTCCAGTCCTGAGTATCTCCTAAAGCATGTTAAAGCAAGCAATAACTTTATAATGTGCTTACTTGATATTCACTAGTGACAATCTTGTCACTTAAAAATAACTTTCCGGGATCACAAATCCATGACGATCTATGCTCAAGGCAGGCATGTTCAGCTGTCTAACTATGCCAAGCTTGCTGCCATCTTACATTGTCTCTTCTGGCAGAAACTGACCAATATCTTCTCTGAAACCCTAGAATTCTAATAGCCCCACGTTTCTAAACATTGGGGACGGCTGGCAGAGGCTTGGCAGGCCCCACTCTGTGGTCTGCTGCTAAAGGCCCTGCCTTTTTCCTGTGGCTTCCTTTAGCCTTTTATCTAATAGCTGCCAACTGAATAAACTATTGTGCTAGGCCAGTTGCTATTCAGTCACTAAGATAAATAGTGCCCTGGTAGGTGCCCAAAGCATCCCTACCTCGTGTTACACAACAACTGCATCTGCAGCTGCTTTCTTCAGTCCTACATGGCCTTAGGCCAAGCGCCTGCTTTGGGGGAAGGCAGGGGGCTTGCTCACTCTTCCCTTCTCCCAGAACAAGTTACTAAAGTCAGAACACAGTACAGAGTCATATAATCCTGTGATTTACCACAGCTCAGTCCAACCCTAGGATATGTTTCTCTTAATCTCTAGATACAGATTTGCCCTAGGTGACCCTGAGCAATTAAGTCTCATCCACTCTTCCCTCTAAATTTTTCTTCAAAGAATCTGAATTATATATTTGTCTTCTCAACACAGCTCC